CTTGGCTCCGCTCCCGCCAGCCGCCTCGGCCGTGCCTGTCTGGCAGGACCGCACCATCGCCTCCGCCAAGCTCCGTCTCCTCGAATACTCCGCCTTCATGGAGGTGCCACGGGACGCCGAAACGGTAACGGTCCCCTCCGCGTCCCCACCACCCGGGCGGGATGGTGCCCATCCCTGTGCTTGGTGGCGTCTTGCTTTCATCTGACCTTTCGTTTTAATTTCCCTGCCCCGGTCCTTACAGTACAGCAAACACCTCTTCGTGCACATCGGCCAGACGAACCCCTCGTACAGCGACCCGCTGCTAGAGGCCGTGGACATCCGCCAGATCTATGACAAGTTCCCCGAGAAGAAAGGTGGCCTCAAGGAGCTCTATGAGCGTGGGCCCCAGAACTCCTTCTTCCTCGTCAAATTTTGGGTACGATGCTGGGAGCGGGAGGATGGGGAGGGTTGTCCTCGATCCACGGGCTCGTTGCAGCTTGGGCACCCCACCGGCGGGAGCGGGAGCATCCTGAACAGCTCCATAAGCTGCTGGTGTCCCTCCCCATCGAGAGCTGGGTGTGATGGCACCTAATGGGACCTTCTCCCCGCTCTCATCTCTCCAGGCGGATCTGAACAGCACGATCCAGGACGGGCCGGGGACTTTCTACGGTGTCAGCAGCCAGTACAGCAGTGCAGAGAACATGACCATCACAGTCTCCACCAAGGTGTGCTCCTTTGGGAAGCAGGTCGTGGAGAAGGTGGAGGTGAGTCCCGTGCCCTGCTGCATCAGGAAGGGGTGGGAATCGGGTCCACCGCTGGTCCCAGGATGGAGAAAGCCCCAGACCTGGGTGTAGGACACGCGGGTGCATGCCTGTCCATCTCCACCGTGTCCCAGTTGGCCACCACCTGCCCATGCCCACATCCCCCGCGGTGTTTCGGTTCCCATGGGGGGGCTGCTCACTCTGCTGTCCCCCGCAGACGGAGTACGCGCGGCTGGAGAACGGCCGGTTCGTCTACCGCATCCATCGGTCTCCCATGTGCGAGTACATGATCAACTTCATCCACAAACTCAAGCACCTCCCGGAGAAGTACATGATGAACAGCGTCCTGGAGAATTTCACCATCCTGCAGGTACTTCCCCTCCTTTTCCAGGGAGCGTTTCCCACCAGGGGTGTGGAGCCCGCACTTGCATTGACCCTACCGTCCCTGCTGTGTGCTGCCCGGCCCCGGGGCACCTGGCCTTGGCACTGCAAATACACTGGCTGTGCCTGCGCCCACGCAACCCCCAAAAAATAGGTAGCAGATTTTTGGTGGTGCAATTAACGTCCCTGTGCCTGAGCCTGTGCCACCCCCCCAAATAATGCATAGCAAATTTTTCATGGTGCAATTAAAGTGGCTGTGCCTGAGCCCATGCAACCCCCCCCCCAAATAACAGATAGCAAATTTTTGTTGGTGCAGTTAAATTGGCTGTGCCTGAGCCTGTGCAACCCCCCCCCCCCCCCAAAAAACGCGCAGCAAATTTTTTCTCGTGC